GGTATCTGGGTTTCAATTTCAAAGGGGAAGAAAAATTGTTTGGGATGATGGACTTTAAATTGATTTGGCCCAAATATGACTTAACACTCTTTTATTTTGCCTTTCTTTTCTTAAACTAATAAAACTAAAAATTCCAAATAGCCTAAATTGACTTATATGACTAGATTAATTTATAAAAGTACTAACTAACTTTTAATAACAATTAACACCCACAATCAAATAAAATCACATAACTTGGACATGAAATGCTAAAAATGCAAAAATACATTATTTTGCGATTTTCTTTCTCTTAAAAAGATAACATGGTTCAATTAATTCCTAAGTGCACAATTAAATCTTAAATGTTCCTGCAACATATATTTTTTTAATTTTCTTAATTAAAGTAGAAATAAACATGCATAGACAAAATACAAATAAATCACAAACAACACAACACCATTTTATTTTTTGAATTTTTTGGGAGTAGTTCTCATAGGGCAAAAATCACGTGCTCACAGCTGTCCCTCTTTGTCCGAAAACATAAAGAGTTTTCGTATAAAGATAAAGTGAGCGGATACGAGCGATTTTTGCCCGTTGGAATACTCAGTGTGAAGTATTTTTGAAAAGATTTAACCGAACCTTTGCTTCAAAGGTTTCCTACATATCCCTGGCTATAAGGGAATCAGGTTAATGTAGTTCGGGAAGTTTTGGTAGCTGGGACTACCATGGGACTGCATTTTTGTTGTTACTGCTGTTGCATGCTGTTACTACTGCTTTTCGACCTCCTTATTACACCGTGCCAAAAGAAAATAAGAAGCTAGACTTAAACTAGTAATTACAAAATCTTATCTATCTCCAGCTTGTTCTTGTAGTCTTCTTTCTGATTTCTGAAATGGGATTCATGCCGGGGGTATTTTTGTTGTAACCCTCCGCATTACTGACTTCTGACTTTATCTTGAAATGTATTCCTCTGTTCTGCAGGCAGGCTCCTGACTTCAACTTGAATGTGTACTCCTTTGTTCTACAGGCGGGCTCCTGACTCCAATAGCGACTTTGCAAATAAATCAGCCTCTATTCTCCAGGCGGGCTCCTGACTTCAACAACGACTTTAAAGTAAACACCTCCATTCTACAGGCGGGCTCCTGACCCCCTTCAACTTAAAATATGACAACCTCCGTTCTACAGGTGGGCTCCTGACTTCTTCAATATAACAACCTCCGTTCTACGGGCAGGCTCCTGACTTTTTCAACTTAAAACATAACAACCTCCGTTCTACAGGCAGGCTTCTGACTCTTTCAACTTGAAATATAACAACCTCCGTTCTACAGGCGGGTTCCTGACTTTACTTAAAATATAACAACCCTCCGTTCTACAGGCGGGCTCCTGCCTTCAACCACTTCTTAAAAATATAATACCTTCATTCTCCAGGCGGGCTCCTGACTCCTTCAACTTAAAATGTGACAACCTCCGTTCTACAGGCGGTCTCCTGACTCCTTAAACTTAAAATGTGACAACCTCCGTTCTACAGGCGGGCTCCTGACTCTTTTAACTTTAAAATATAACAACCTTCATTCTACAAGCGGGCTCCTGACTTCTTCGACTTAAAATTAACAACCTCTATTCTACAGG